TCGTTTTATTTATAATTCAGTGTTCCAGGATAATAGGGTGTTGAAGAGAAATGTTTCCGAAATAAAAATTACTTCCATTTAAAATACGAATTTTCTTTTAATTCCAAATTTTGTTATTAAACGACACATTTTCAATCAAGATTTTATTTACTTTGTAAGAATAATTTTGTTGATAAAGAAAATTCTACATAATACTTATTAAACATAAAAACTTTTATGTCTCCTATTATAATTTGAAGTATATTCTATAATTTTTAGTAATTTTATTTATTTTACGTATACGTAAAATTGGCATTATATTTAATTATTCAATACCCATTAATGCGCATATGATAATTTATATAGATTTCTCTACCTCTAAAATCGCTAGTAATTTTTTATTGTAAGTGTAATTTCTTTTTCGTCTATTTTTTAAAAATTGAAAAATTTTTCACGCCCGACTATAATAACAGTGAACTTTTAAGAAATCCACCAATTTCACTAAGTACAAGCATTATTAATATAGATATACGAGTGTTAAAAAATTTTCATTAAATTAAAATAATAATAATAATAGTAACTCAGCTACCGAATGGAATGAATTTCATATTTAATATGATGAAATAATTTATAATTACTATGTATAGTGAGGAGAATTTTAAATATTATATCCAACATTTATAAATCTGTATAATAGTATAAAATATAATTTTAGTATACTATAGCGTAGTAAATTTATTATAATAAAGAAAATTATGTATTGTATTTTGCTATATTAAGCACTGATAGGAATAAATGTTAAATGAACGAATATCGTCGTCCTTAAAGTACAACCTACAATAAAATAATAAATTGAAAAGGAGAAACTAAGTAGCAGCTACTCATCATATTTATTTATTTATTTATTTAATATTAAATATATCATTGATTTTTGTTCCATATCACCATACAATGTTACATCGGATTGGTTATTTATTTTCTTAGAATTCAATCAAAAATATATTGACAATATATTGACGTATATTTGACGCTAAGTGGACATTTGAAAAATTGGCCTCGTTCTATCTCTCAGTCTGTATCTCTTGAGACATATTTTGAAATAATCATCATTAGATAAAGCAATATGAAAAAGTTATTTTTATATATAAAAAAAAAAAAAAAAAAACATTTATTTGTTGTAGCAGATATTGAATATTGTTAAAGCTTATAAATTCAAATAAATAAGAAAAAAGTACGTAGGTTATATAAATTTTACACATTGTTTGGGGCATAAAAGTTCCGTTGGGATATTTTAAATCTAATATCTTTAATTTTCTATCTTAAATTTTAATTTGAAATTTTATACTTTTATACTTGATACATTATTTTTCATATATATTATATATTTTTTTTTATAAATTTCGAAATTTTATTCCAATATTCTTATTCTTTATTCTTTTAAGTATGACAGTTTTAAAATGGAATTATATATTAATAAATGTCTGACTTGAAGTTTAAAAGAAAACAGGAAAATAATACAACAATATTTTTTAATTCCACGTAAGATATAAAGCTATTTTAATCAAATTATATTTTAGGTTAAACATATTTGAATATGTTAATTAGTGCTGTAAGATTTATTTTCACTTATTTTTATTAAAATCAATGCCCAAAGCATATGTTGCATAATATTTGTCGAGCCAAACGTTGTCATCATACACAACGTATTTAACAATATATAATATTTATATATATATATATATATATTATCCTATTAAATTTTTGTTATACTGTAAAGTGACAATTAAGTAATAAATTACTTAATTACCTGATATTATATTGTGTATTATAGGTTAAGATAATAATCCGTTTATTGAGGGGGAAAAAAAAAAAAAAAAAAAAAAAGTTTTTCTCAAATGTAACCTTAAATTTTATTTCAATCGTTATATAAGAAAATTTTAATCTTTACAACCAAGTGTATTTGTGATTTGTTATCATATTAAGTACCCATATACGCATTAAGTACCCATATTATAAATTCTCTTAATCCTACATACAAATGCGCACATTTTACACTATCACCAATTAAATACAAGTGATGCAATTTAATTTCAACACTGACTATATATCGTACATACTTCGGTTAGCTTAATTTTCACGGAGATTGTAAAACTTGAGAATATAATACGTATCATTTTAATATAATATAATGCGAATGCACAAACAATATTTAAATTCGATTTGCCACAAATTTACAAATTCAATTCTGTAATACAGAACTTCAATTAATTTATCTTTAATGTCGTTAAACGCAAATCAGTATTAAAAGGTTCGTAAGAAAAAAAAAAAAAAAAGGGAAAAAAAGAAATTGATTTTAAAGAGATTAAAAGTTTTGACGTAAAGATGAAAAAAAGTAAATAAACTGAATAATTCCACAAAACTCGTTAAAGCAACTTCATATTCTTAAAAGGTACATATTCAAATACCAATACAAGTGAAGATGTGCTCGTGAGGAATAAGAGGAGAACTCTAACGCCTACATTAAACTTCTGCCAAGCGAAGGCGTATAAATTGCCGATCTAATCAATCTTGCCGCTTAACGATGAACTTTGCAGTTCTCCCTTTTTCAACTATACGTAGTCTCCTTCACGAGAGATACAAAAGCCAAAAACGAGGCCAGCCTTAAGCGTACAATTTCTGTGCTATGAAACGAAAAAGAAAAAGTACACGGACGGTTAACATGAAGGAAAAGACGGATATAGGGAAGACTCGAAAGATATAAAGTCAAAGTGGGCAGCAGCTTTTTCGCATCCTTGTCGCCCGACCAGCTCGCTAAGTTCGCGCGCTCACACATTTGCACCATGTAGTAGCTTAGACAGGGGTGTAGCCCTGGTGTAGTCCCTAGGGCTATGGGATCCAAGTATGAACGAGAGCGGCAAAAAAGGCCTCTACACGCCCTTAGGCCAGCAATTCTTTTCTCGCTTCGACGCATTCACTTGTCTACTATTCGACATCGACGATCAGCCCGCGGGCGGGCCCTTTTCCCCGGCGTATCCGAATAAAATGACAAGAGTTGGGATTTAAGTAACGAAGCAATGCTCGCCCTAGTAGCCAGAATTCCTGTCACGGCTCGAGTCGAGCATTTTTTTTTTTGTTTTTTTTTGTTTTTTTTTTTGTTTGTTTTTTTGCTCTTTTTCGCTCGAGCGAGCAAAATCTTGAAATCTTGGCTGGGAGGAAAATTTTTGCTATGCCTGCAGGAAGCGAATTTACCTCGAGCGCTATAACGGTGGTGCCTCGATGCTCTGGATAATGGATTTTGCATTTTATATGTGTAATGTAAGTGAATTCTCGAGATGAGTAGCGAGTGAATTGCCCGGGTAACACTATTGTCTTGGCTCTTGGTGTTGATATACCAGGGGGATATCTTATTTGAATGTACATGTCTTTCTTTCCTCGGGTCTCAATAGACCTCCTTTCTATGCGTTTTTTTCTCTTCTTTTTTCTTCCTCTTTTCTTCTTTTATTATTATTAGTCTTTGTTTTTTTTTTTATTAAGACAGTAAGATCATCGCTCACATTATCTTTATATTTAAGAACCATGACTGTACTAAAGAAGCTATTAACATAAAGGACTTTTTAAATACAAACCGTGCTGTTTTTACATCAATAAATAGCTTCTTCTCTTTTAATGGAAAGATCTAAGATTAATTACAAAGATAAAATTTGTCTTTTTTAAACAAAACTATAGAGCTGTTTTTATAGATAATATTTACATTAGAATTATATACAGGCTGATAATTAATATTTTTCATTGATTAAATGATGCGATATAATTAAAGTTAAGAAGTCAAAAATTTGAATGAAAATTCTTATTAGTCGTAAGATGGATATAATTAAAAAAAAAAAAAAAAAAAAAATCTTTACAAAACGACAATCGAGATTACTCTTATTAAATTATATTTTCATTTTTTTTTTCATTAAAATTTTTCTATTGATGTAAAAGATAATAAAAGCACATCCGCAAAAATAATGATAAATTTAATAAGAAAAAGCATAAGTATTATTAAATAAGATTTAAATAAAATAGTTAGCTTATTAAATAATGATGTGTATTATATAATATTATATGGATTATGTTAATAATTTTAGTAACTCACCTACACAATATCAATCAGGTTATTGTATTTAAGCGACGACATACCTGAAAAGCAAAAAGTAATAGTTAGATATTTATATTTACAAGATTAAAGAAAATTAATTTATAAAATGTATTTGGTATTAGTATTAAATAACATGTACTAAGTTCATTTATGGTTATTTGTATGATTGTTCGACACGCAAATTATATTGTATTGATATATTAATATATTGATTTTAGAATTTATGCATCTGTATAATTTATATAATAATTTATATAAAGATTAATAAATGAGAAAATGACAGAGAGAATTAACAGTTTAACATTAAAAAATTCAAAATTTAAAAATATGTAAAAATAGTTATTTATTATTACTATGTTATTTATCATATTATGTAGAAAGTAATTTAAGGGAGAAAATGTGTATATATCGTTTAAATATGTAACAATTAATTCTTTTATATTAAAAATTAAGTTTATATGCGGTATATTAGAAATTTTTAGTACATTTATAAGAACCAAAGTAAATTATCAAAAACGTATAAGTGGTAACTTACTTCAAAATATATTTTTCATGATAAAAAAGCTTTGAGGAGTGACCTACTAGTTTTCAGTGTATTTGAAATCATTAGTTTTAAAGTCAGTGTCACCTCCACTTTAGGTTGCAATATGTAGTCGTCACATCGTACGATACGTAAAAAAAAAAAAAGTCCGATAGGCCAAACAGTATCCGGATTTCTTTTGTCTCGCTTTATTTCTTGCTCTCTCTCTCTCTCTCTCTCTCCTATTTCATTTCACAGAAGGTTTTCAATGGTGCTGGTGTATTCCAGACGCGCACTGCGATAGGGGCGCGTTCGCGACAATCCGAAACGCAAGCAGATAAGCCAGTGTATAAAGTCTGTGAGTGCGAGTACTCGCCAAGTTATTGCGGCTTTCTGTTTCCTCAATAAACGTGGATATAATGTTTTCCTACGAGGCAGCTATTTTTGGAGGCCTACTCTACTCGCTCGTCCTTACTGCCCATACGAATGCCTTTGACGTCACTGATAAGAGGGTGGAGCACATAACTCTCACCGATAAGGACATTGTATCGAAGGAACAATTGGTAATTGCTTTACGATACATCGATTATTTTTCGCTCTGTCATTATTCGAGAATGTGAATTTTTACGTTTTCGGGGTCAGCGTCTTGAAAATCTTTCCCCAAAATATATTTAACAAACAATCTTATTCCTCAATAATATCCTATGCTTTTCTCAAGATTTGATTAGATAATTCGAAAAAGTTTATATAGAAGTAAAACTTTATATGAAAGATTATGTCTTTTTAAATGTAGATGAATTTTATCTTATTATTATAAAACCATTACACCTACTAATGATTCGCAAATAAAATCTTTATTTAAGTCGCTAATATACTTTAAAATTAAGAAGCTTAAATTGATTATTAATTTTCCTTTCCACATAAAAATTCTCCTATTATATTTATATATATATATATATATATATATATATATATAAATTAATAAATAAGAAATTCCAAAATTATATGATGTTCGAAATAAATTTTAATTATTATTATGATGCATTAAAAATTCTTTACGATACAATTATAATTACATATTTGTCAGAATAAATTAAATATTCTATATAAACAGTTGGACTATTACTTTACTTTAAATCGTCATTATATCAATTGATAATGGAAGTAAAAAAGCATTATTATTTTGATTTAACGTTGCAATGGCGGAATAATAAAGCTTAGACTTAGTAGTTAACATTTTTTTAATATTTGAAAAATTTTATAAACTATTAATATTAGTTTTCAATATTGAAAAAATAAATAGTATGGATTTATTTTGTAAATTAAAATTTGTTTAAAATTAATATTATTAATCGATAATATGTATCAAAGACTGTAATGTAAAAATTGTTTTTAAATTACTGTTTTTAAATTAAATTATTAGTAAATATAAGAAATGTGCAACTTTCTTAGTCGATGAAAAATGAAATATTTTAAACATTAAATATAATTGAATACTATACGTATTGGCGTATATAAATTACTGATAACCATATATATATGCAATATACCGTGATTTATACTGAAATTACTCAACAAAAATGTTATTTTATATAGACTGTGCTAATATATAATAAAATAAACAAGTAACCTTCAAATATAATAATTATTTAGACAGGTAGTAAAGTAATTTTTTAATGGATTTACGTGTGTCCATACAAAATTTGTACGTGTTTTCAGAAAGTACAGTAAAATAGTCTTATTTACTTATCTTTTCATTCCTTTAATTTCTACAATTTCGTTTTTATTACTTCCAGGAAAATATAAAATTTTTTATATTTTGTTAAATATTTATTTAACGTATTATCAAACATTTATATGATTAATGAAAGGGCGTGTTTATTGTTATCTTTATATTTTGTAATAAAAAATATTTCTGTCTATAGATGAAAACATATAATTTTATGGATTCGAAGAGTGCCATAACACTAAGTAATCTTCCAAAATTTAAATAGGATTACTTTGGACTGTATTTTCTTTTTCTTCACACACTAGGATATATCAGTTTTTCTTCGTCATTCTTTTATCTTTATCCGTTTACTATTGGCGAATCATTAGCCGAAAACTAAAAAAAAAAAAAATTTATATATATATATATATATATATATATGTTCTTTACTTATACTATATTTTATCCAATTATAATTGTACATGTTGTTTTATATTTTTACAATTTTTATTTGAATATTTTTATTTATCCAATTAAATATATTTAATACTTGGTATGCAATTTTGAATTTAATTTTTCTAATTATTTAAAAATATGCAAAAAAATTGTTAAATTCAAAGCATCGTTTATTATCGTTACTATCCATGATTTAATCAACACTCAAGACAATGTTTAACGCACATATTGTTATATTACGAGTAAATTCATATTTAAACATTTTTCTCAACATTTTTCTATTATAATCTTTTTTAAGGACTTAAAATTAAAAAACGGCAAAAGAGACTACAAATTTATTGGTGATTTGGAAATTGGCGATCGCCATGCAGATGAAACAGTTTTCCGACGATCGGTTGAAATATCCAATCCCACCGACGAAGTCTACAATACTGCAATAACGCTGAATGTCGAAAGAGGTAAGTTTAAAATAAAATTCTGCTGAAAGTTAAATTTTATACGAAAATTCTTTTCAATAATTACCTTGGAATATTTATTCATTTATTTCTAACAGCGTTTTCTTCGAAATTTAACATTCATATTATATTGAATTTTAAAACTGTAAGAATTTCTTCTCCGCGTGTATATAGGTAAAACATGTTAATATACCACCAACATAGAGTATTATTATAGAGTATTAGGAAATTTAAAATCGAAAAGACTTTTCTTTGTAATTTCCAATAGATTTAATTCAATCTATCAAATACAACAACATACAAATTTGTTAACTATTAGTTTATTCTGTTACTTTACAAATATAAAATACATAATTATATATACTATATGCGATAGTTTGTATTATTGAAACGAGGTATAAATTTTCCAATACGTGGATAAAAAGCTTTTAAAAGTAGGTTAAAAGTTTTACAGAATTTTCAGAGCTGTGGACAATATTTTTACGACAAACTGACGAAATATTTTGCATCAACTTGACCTAATTTCTATTAATTCAATTAAGTTTTCTACAACTAATTTTATTAGGAAAATGTAGTTTTAGCACATCATTCTTTTTAATTAATTTTATTATTAAAATATTAAATTACTAAATTAAAGTATATATTAATAAAATATTACATTTATAAACAGTAGAGTAATAATATGTAATTATGGTGAATATAAAAATTATTTATTTTTTTTTAATGAGTACCGATAAACCATGAGAAATACTTTTATGAATTTTGAGAATGAATCATGCATTATTAATACATAATTTTTACCTTTTTAATTAAAGTTTATGTATTAAAATATTAACAGTTGATCTAACATATCTTCGCAAATTATATTCCGAAAGCAATATACCTACTACAAATCTTGAATTAAAAGTATATTGTACTTTTGTATACGTGCGTCTATTTAAAATGAAGTATTTAAATGTATGCATTTTTCCAAATACATATATATATATATATAAGTTTCCATTCATTAATATGAAAATAAATTTCAAATATGAATATAAGTTTAATTTATTCTAATCTACCGGTACACATATTTATAATTGCTATTTTTATTATAATTTAAATTCATATATTATAATACAAATTTGACAGATCGTTAAGCAAACGCAATATTATTTATAACTTGAGATGAAATTGAATTTGTCAATATTTTTTCTTAAGTTTCATCTATTGCATTAGTTTGATTTTTATAGGTTCTCATCTCAGCGTAGTTTCCAATCAATTTTACACCGAAGATTATACAATCACATTAACCGAAGTTCAACTTTGAAAACTAATTATGAATTTGAAAAGACAAATTTTTCAGATTAAATGTTATAATAATAATATAAGTGTATATGGAAATGATTATGCGAATGCTATTTGAAATGCTTTCGTGAATTCTGCTAGAATAGTATTTTATGTATCGACTACTTTTATTTAAATATAAAAAAAAAATTATCAAATTTTTTAAATAAAATGCAATTTGTTTAAGATTTCTTCAAGCTTTTACCTAGATATTAAAATTTTCTCTAATAATCTTGCAAAATGGTCAATAATTTGCAATATTATTAATATAAACGAACAATTATTGTGAATGTTGTTAAAACTTTAACAATGCTAAATTGTTCTCATAAATTCCATAATCTTACATAATGTTTGTAATATTTGCAGGAACAATTCACTATTTGAGCGTATCGAATGAAAGGAACAGCTATGCCGTAGCATGCGATGAGCCCTACAGTCTGGGAACATCAAGAACCAGCTTCAATGTTCGAGTTCCACCAAACACTCAATCGCAACTTTGGCTTCTCGTAGCTGCGCATTGATCATTTGATTATTGTGATGTGTACGCACGTGCAATATCAACGATATAACGCGACATTAAATAACAATAATGTAAAGACAATTATTTTCTCTAAATTAATTGAGTTATCAGGCACCATGCACAAATATAAATTATTAGAGAATAAATAGTAATACAATTAAGATTCATAATATGCCCTTTTAGTCTTATTAATCCTTTTGTTTATCATTATTTCACTTTCTTAATATTCCAAAACTATCCGAAACAATAGCGTTTCTATTGTTCTGTAAACATCTATGTTATTTAATATTATAAAGATGAATGAAATTATGAATAAATTCATGTAAATCCGAAGAAAATGACCGAATATTTATATTTAAAAAAAAAAAAAAAAAAAAAAAAAATTCATACCTTTCTTCTTACCGTCTTTTATCTTATTTTTTTAGTCAAATCGATCCGCGATACTTCTCATACCCTACTTATTTTATGCCCATTTTAATATTATCTTCGCATCTTCGGTTTATTGAATTTAATAGTCTTTTATTTTTCATTTTTTCTATAATAAAACCTTGTATATTACTTTTTTATTTTCTATTCTGTCTATGTGCACAACCTATTTTTAATATACGTCGCTTAATTCTCCTTGCAATATTAGCTCCAGTGTAGTTTACCGATTTTAACTTCTATAAATTTAGTTTATATTATCTCCATCTTAAGTACTTTTGTCTTTTATACCAAAATTTTATTTCCAAAGTATTTTGGAAATAATTTAATTTCGATCATTATTATTTCATCTCGTGTTTTAATTATGTGAAATTAATTAGGAATCAATCCATAATATTCGTTTCTTACTGATTTTAACGTTAATATTATAAAGCTTACATATCTTAGAAAATTTAAGATTTCTCAAGATACAAAGTTAAAGAGGCAATTTCTTAACCATATAATTTGTATTGAAAATAATTTCATGAAATAAATGCAAATATTCTATCAGCTAAGATAATTACATAAGATGAATAAAGAAAAAGTGTGAATAAAATAAAAGTGACAATATATTATGTACATGTTTTTTTTTATCATATTTTTTTTTAATAACATGCGTATTATAAGGTTAAAGGTTAGAAGTAATAGAGAAAGACTCTATATGATACCTCTTTATAAACCTTGAGATCAACTCCCTAAGATAAAAGTAAAAGACATATAGAAAAAAGAAAACAAAAAGAAGAAAAAAAGATACAGATATACGTAACATAACGTACAAGTATCAGAAACTGCTACTCTTAGTGTTTATTCTTTCTTCTCAAAATCTTTTTACTGTAAAATTATATACATATAAATACAATACAATAAATATAAAATAATATACAATATTTCATCATATTCTATGCTTAATTATAAAATAAATTAATAATAGGTTACAAAAATGTATCTGATTTTTCACTGATATTTATTATTTCCCTTTAGATAGAAACAAGTTCCCTAAAAATCATTATTTTAAAATTCATTATGTAAAAAACTATATTGCATACGAGTTCAAAGTCGCATGAATACTGAAATTTTTGAGCTATTAAATAAGAGTTAATTTGGTTTAATGCTCTTATATAAATTATGTATTAAATGTATATTAAATAGTTCCCTTGCATCAATTAGCAAGTCAGCCGGTGGTAATTTGTTCTTAACAAATATCATCATTATTTATTGAATTTACATATATTGCCGAATAATTTATAATAGTTATTGACAAGATTGATATCGCTATATAAACTATCAATTACTCACTTAAGTTATACATAATACTTTGTTTATTTTAATGAAAATAACAATGAACAGAAATTCTGTAATCCTAATGTTACATAATTACCTAATGCCACCAATAAATTTATGCAAATAATAATAAAACTACCTAAAATACTAATAAATAATTTTTAATAACAATAATATATAGATTTTCTAATTATATCATTTCTGTTATCTACATCTTCCTTATTGGTTATCATTGAAATAAAGCACATGTTTCGTCGATAATATATTAAAATGAATTATATTATTTTATTAAATTGATCATCTTAGTTCAGCAACGGTAGAAGGATAGTTTTTCAAATCAATTTTACAAGAGTAAATATGATGTATCTGCAGCTGCAATTATAATTGAAATTTACGTCAATCTGATATGTTTTTTTTTTGTTTTGTTTTGTTTTTGTTTTTAACATATACGAACTGAATAAACTCCGTGCTTATATACTAATTTAAAGGATAAATAATAATATTTGCATTTCCCATGTTCTAAGTAGTTTTCTTAAGTACGCCTATATAACTTAGAAACTTTACTTGAATTTTGAAAGGTAGTATCTGATTAGGAAGAGATCGATACACATTGTTACACATATATTTTTCAATCAACGTATAATATTAATTTAAATAATAAAATGTTCTAAATAAAATATTGAAAATAATGCATATAAATTAATTCGATTACAAGAAATATCTAAAATATATATCTTTTCTATTTCTTATACTTATATATCATACTCATGAATATTTTAATAATTATATTAGATACTTCTAAAATATCGTATGTGTTAAAAAAAAAAAACAATTTAATATTTTAGGGAAATATTTATATTAATTTAATGACGAAAGCCTTTCTATCTATTTTATTAATTGTATCATAAGAATATTTGTCATTAAAATTCTGTTTCTCCCCATAAATTTTTAAGCGGAATTTATTTTAATTGATATTTTAACTATCCAAGCAAATACATATTTATATTAAATATTTTAATTTTACATAAATTTAATATCAATTACATCTTTTTATGCGTTCTTTTTTATAATATAAATAATATTAAATATTTTATAATACATATAATATTAAATTCTGCTTAAATCAGGAAACATTTTTGTAATGTGTTTTCATAAGTTGTAATATTTGTTTATATTACTTTTGGTTTATTGACATAATATAGATTGCTTTTTTTATGTTTCGACACTGTTAGATGCTCTAAATTGATATTTTAATACTTCCTTAAGTAAATCTGTGTTACTTATCTACTAAGATAATCTTGTTCTTATTATCTCTTCTAAATCACACTTTTATTAGAATCATCGCTAAAAATGATGAAGTCACTATATATACTAAAAGACGTTTCCCACAAACATTTATTAAAGAATTTAACTTGCAGAATATTTCTGTGCCATCTGTTATCTATTAATGTTTTCTAAATATGCAAAAATTATCTTTCATATATTTTATTATTTAGATGAATACATTTAAAAATCAAATATCTATAGATAGCAATTTTATTACTCTACGTTATATTATTGGTATTGTCATATTCACTTTTTTTTTTTATATTAAAAATAAAAACGTTTACACTGTGTTTATTCTATTTTTAAATGTAAACTATACTATTTGATATTTGTCATATAATCATTATCTTGTATAAGCAATTGATATTAATAAGTTTATAAAAGAAAACATATTTATTAATGAAATTAATATTGTAGCCCTCACAGAATAATTAGTAATATGTATATAAATGGCAATTTATATTGATTCCATTTCTGATATTTTTCTATGTTTATCTCGAATTAATAAGAAAAATTTTAATGATCTGAATTTTGCACTTGAATTTATTACATTTGGCGATTTAAAATTATTGAATATTTGTCTAGTAATGGTTTATTCTCCAATTCGAATTTGTGGAATATATTCATAAACTTTGCTAATTTTTATATATCAAATGTAGATAACATTTACTATTTCAATTAAATCTTTAATAGATATAATAAATTCTATATTACATATGTGTAAGAAGCATAATTAATCATTAGTTGATTAAAAATAGTTTTATGTATAGATAAGTTTGTTATTTTCAAATTTTTTGCAAAGCTTAAAAGAAAGTTTGATTTTATCTATTTTAAAATCAAACTTAGTCACTTTTACAGTTCCTACTCCTTTTTGAGTTTTCTGAGTATACAAAAGTTTTTTCGCAGTCACGGAAATACCGCGACTCCCGAGTTAAATTCTTAACCTTTGAAAAATCATGAAAGCGCGCGCGCGAGCGTGTGGGACATGGGACACACACAGAGTTCGTCACTCGCAGGCTCTTAATCGCATCCGTCTGTATCAGTATATCAAGAAATGATGTTTCACAGGAGATCAAAATGGAAAGAGGAAGGACGCCGAGATTCGTAGTTGCATCTTCCGCACGAAGTTAAAGTCTCCAGCGTATAGTATCCCTTTGTATCTCGAGGGGATACGCGTTTCTATTCTATTTTCGATCCTTTGGCCAAAATTGACAAAAGCCTCGGCCCAGATTAAATGATCAAGATAAGCAGTAACTGTAACAATACTGTATTGAGAGCAAAGGAAAATAAAAAAATTAAGAATCGGAAATGCTGTCTATTGATGAAGAAAGAATTTTATTTGAATAAAGATGAAAGTATTTTTTCGATGTATATAGCTAGACGCCCGTTGTATACCGAGTAACAAATCTGGATCGAATATACCAGATATCAAATGGAATTGGCGCTCCCAAGCGTATAATTGGCGGTAAAAGAGTTTGAAACGAGTCGAATTCTTCAAAGTTTTTATCAAGAGATTTTATAGTTAAAATTAGTTGCCTCATTTTTAAGAAACGGTTATACCATCATTATTTACTATCTTTAAACTATTTAAAGTTAAACAATGTGAATTTTTATTACCTTATTGTTATTGATCGAACTTTTGGGGCTGATATTAAAGCACTTATCATTTTTAAATAATGTTAAATAAATTAATGGATGTATCCTTCGCGGCTTCTCCTCCCCCCTCCCCCTCCCTAAAGATTATAAATAAGTTTAACAACAATTAAATTAAAAAAAATTTTGTTTATCAGTTAAAAACAATTATTCTTTAAATGTCTATTTAATTTTTTAATATTTTTTATAATATTTTTAACATAAAACAATTATATTTTAATAAAAATCTTATTTATAACACGATTAATATTATATATATAAATTGTCATATATATACGCGCAAATAAATTTTACTTTCATGCTAATTACAACACAGAGAACCGATTCGAATGCTTAAATTATTTGTGCAGAAAATAATATGATGATATTATTTCATTAGGTATTATATGAAATTCATATATTTTCAAAAATCATACAATTATAGTGATGTTCTTCTTATTCTTGTATAATAAAACAGAAATTATTAAGTAC